TCTGTGTGTGTGTGTCTCTGTGTCTCTGTGTGTTTTGGGATCTTTCCGGGGGTGCTGTGGGACATATTGATTTGGCCCAGAGCTCGGTCACTCGAGAACGGTGAAAGGTAAGAGGCTAAGTTGTCCTTTTGAAATGCTTGCAAGGGGGCAATTTCGGACTGATCTGAGACCTGTTTATGGCTTAGCTCGCACGGTTGCATCTTGGAGTGATCGTCGAAGAATTCCAGACACGAAAACACTGGCTGTTTGGATCAAGATGTGCATTTGTTTGCAGGTTGGGATGCCGGAATAATCCATGGTTGTTGCAAACCTTGGCCGCACAGCACATACTCCCACAAACGGCTGGCGTACACCTTGAAGAATGAGCTGAGGTCACGGCGCAGGAGGCTCACTCTGTGATTATTCCAACCATTGGGGTTGACTCGCAATCCGCGTAAAGTCTCCGCATCTTGCGACCTGGCATGAAGTTGAAACATGTTGAAACCGCACAGACAAAGATGGTGCTTGCGCCAAGCATGCCTTCGATCTGAAAGCCCTGCACAACGAAATTCCCTCAGCCCTGTCATGCAGATTTGTTGTGGCGATCCCGCTGGGTTTCATCGTGTCGCCTACTTCTGAAGAGTTGACATCGTAAACTCTTCCGCTTGGAGATTCGCTACTGTAAGGCCTCTGTCCTCTGGCCGTAAACGACATCTCATCCCAAATTCCCGGCACTCCAACTCCGAAGACTTGACGGCCGGTCTCTTAGCTGCAGACCCACAACTGCGAAGTCTGACCTGCTTCGATTTATTTTCGATTGTTCATGATGTTGTAAGAGTTCATCCTGATTTGGATTAATAGGTTCACTGTTAGCTGCTGTTAGCTTACAGCTGACAAAAATCCCGAAGCCCTAATCCTATGCGGCCCCAAAGCCAGGAGGCGCGTTTGTACGTCGTCGTGGAAGTCCCAGCACCCGGGCCGAGTACACCGGGAAGCTCTCGCGGTCGCTTCGGCGCAAAAACAGCGGGGAGGGAAGGGTGGGGGGAGTCCGGGAGTGACCCATGTTGCTAAATGAAGACAGTATGGCTGACAGCTCTTGCATACACCATTGCCGGGTCATAGATCCGAACATGGAGCAGTAGCGGAGCTCCATCGCTCACACCGGGAGTGCTTGTGCCGAAAGCATAAGAAAACTGACACGGCCCAGGGCTTGCTGCGGGTTGCCAGTGGTTCCTGCAGTTCCTCCCGTCCCGTCTCTCGCGGTAAAAGGGCCAGGGGATGTGGCGTAAAACCAGGACAAGCGATCTCTGTCGGGGTGAAGAAGCCGCAGCACACCGTTCCCGCGCAAGCCACAAAAACACATTCACTCCAGCAGCGAGTAGGAGCGGCTTGGCGAGCTTCACAAATTGAACCAGCAGGCCTTCGAGTTCACACAGTCTGAGGAGGTTTGAGCAGGCTACTAAGATGTGACATTGCATCGTAAAGATGCAGAAGCGGTTGGTGGCATCCTGTTCGCACAACCCCTTAGATAGAAGCCTGAACCCAGGCGTGTTTGTTCTTCCTACATAGGGTCGTTGTTTATCCAGTCAACCAGAAGAGGACCCCCAAAAAGGCTATGATGAATAGCCTGCAAACTCTGCGAAATCCGAACTACGCTTTCAGGTGCACTTGCTGCGGCCTTTGCCCACAGTTGCCGGTGGCTCTCTGAGGGCGAGGACATGGCCTTGCTTGAGCAGTTTAGTTCCCCATTAGGCTGCTAAAGGAGTACAGTACAGGGTTGGAGTGTACCCGGTGTTTCTTCGGTTGCTGTGCCCTGTGGCATGACACAAGTGTTTTTTTGTGTTTCCTGCTTTCGTCGTCCCTCCGAGACCTACTTCACCCGAGACTAGGCCCGATCTAAACCCCAAACCATCGGAAAATTCCGCCACACACACGCAAAAGAAACAACACGTCCATCGTGTTCAGACTCCAGGATTTTTCGCTATGAGAGCACATGAGCCTTTGCGAATGCAAAGCAATGGTATTCTGGCAAAGCTGCATCGAAAGCCCAGTTCGCAAAAATGACAGCAGTAACACCGGAAACCATCCTTGAACCCACACTTTTTCCACGTAGGGTCGACAACTCTTACAAAGCAACTCAACACAAAGCTGGCCCTGATACTTGATTAAACCGCCTGAACCGTTGGTTCTTGTCTTCGAGGAGACACCGACCTGGAAACGGCCTGTGCCGGAAGGTGCTTACAGTAACGGCCGAACCCTTGCATTGAACCCATGGAGGGAGCCCCCCACCAGAGCACGTGTCGTCGTTGAGATGGATGCTTGGGGCAGCTTCTATAGGGTGAGTTAGTTCGTGGGATTGAGGAGTGTGATTTTAGATATGTTCAGCGCCCTGGCTGTGCTTTGTCGCTCTAGTATTGAGCCTATCCCTCTCCTACCAGCAAAATACTTCAATCATCATGTGCATTGCTTCTGGAACAGATCCAGTTATCCCTCTCCTACCAGCTATTTCCTCAATCATCAATGGCATTGTTTCTGGAACAGATCCAGTGGATGTGTGGTTTGGCAACGTACTTCCGGGTTGCTGCAAAATCGGTGGCTGTATAAGATCTGTTTAAGCTCTTCGGGCCTGTGTGAGGGAACCGGCTTGTCGTGTTCGTAGATCTATGCCAGCAGCAAGTCGCATGCCAGTTGACCCATGTCAACAATTATGCTTTCTCAATTCTTAGTATTCCGATGCGCACTGTTATCATGACCATCCGCCATTGTTATCAATACGCTTGGTGAAGACTTGCAGGGATCCTGCTTGTTGCGTGCCTGAGGATGTCGGGCTTAGGGATGTGGGGTCGCGCAAGTAACCGAATTAAACTAAGCCTTAAGGCATACTCGTCTGCGGTCCTCAGGTGCCAAGCGACCCGCCCGACCGGACCTTTTGATGTTCAGCACCCTGCTGCAACCGGGTACGACGATCACTCTGCCAGAAGTGCAGATGGACGGCGCCTCGGCCGGATGAGTCGAGGGTTTCCGGGCATGTCCCGTGAAAAAGTATGGGGATGTAGTGGAGTCCATGGCATGATTTCGGAGACATCGACAGTACGATATGCGGAGTCTCAGGCCATAGTTTCCAAAGCGAGTATATACACACAACCCTAACCATGATGTGCAAATGCTGTGTCGTCGTTGGTCCTTGTTGTTTGGTCCAGGACATTAGCTTACACGTGAAGATGGCACCTATTGATTCGCCCTAAACGTTAAACTGATCGAGGCTACTTGCAACGGGCCTTTGCTGTGGCGGTCAAGGTCGCCACTATCAGCATTGGGATTACCGTCTCTTCCAGCAGCGAGTTGAAGTATGAGCGAACAGCGCTCGTGGAAGAAGGCTTCTCGGCCGAGTTCCATCATTCTGATAGCTAAAACGCAAGCCTTGAACTTTTCTGTGGGTTCGTGGTGGGCTCAAAGGCGTCAGGTCAAAGACCAACCTCGAAATCGCGAAGTCCATGGACTCTCAAGAGGGGCCCAGAGAAGACTGCCTCAGCCACCTTATCTTAATAAAATGAAGTTCTCCAGTGACGCAAGCAAAGAATCCTCGAACTCTGTCCCGGCTTCCCAAAGTCTGAGGGGTCACCCCATGGCTTGACCGAGACCACAAGTATCTGGACGTGCCGGCCACTGTGCCTGCCAGTCGAAGTGGTTGCATGGTGTCCGTCCCCACATAGGATTCGTGAGGGGTCATGATGTCGGTTCATTGTGGAGCTATAGATTAGACCGAGGCCCAAGAAAAGCTTCAAGGCAATAGCATCCCAGGGCAAAGGCGAATGACCCGTTTTTTCCATTGAAGTGTCAACTTCCGTGCTCACATGAAAGTGGCTCTCTTGTGCTGGACATGTTCGGGGCTTTGGGTCTTCCATGGTCTTCCTATACTGTACGGTACGATACCATTAGTTTACATATTGGGACAGAATGTAATGGCGGTGTCACCTGAACACCGTTTAGCACAACTTCAGAAGCCGTGAGCCCTGAACAAAAGGCTGGCGCGAGGCCCACGATGTAAGTCTACTGGACCCAGGCCCCAAGCACCAAGTCTTTGACACCGATATTGTATCACATTATATCATGGGTTGTCGTGTCATACCGTGTAGTATGCTGCTGCATTGTCTCGCATTGTGTTTTATGCTATATTATACTGTGATATGCATATCATGTTAAATTATGTCACGCGAATTGTCCTGCACTAATTAGATTTAAATCATATGTTACTATAGTATAGCATAGTACCGTATAGTATAATGTGGCACAGCATAGTACGTTTTAGTATAGTTTAGTATAGTTTAGTCTAATATAGTATGGTATGGAATGGTATGGTATCGTATGTTATAGTATGGTATAGTATGGTATAGTGTGGTATAGTACAAGTATGGTATAAGTATAATATGGTATGGTGATCGACTGAGAACTAATTGGGATCTGTCTCCTGCCTGTTTTATATCAGCTTGTTCGGCTGGCAAGGTCCATGGTAAGTTAACGCAGGGTAACGAGCGATGCGCATCGGCTACGAGTTGCAGCGCAAGCTCAGGCCTACTTGAAGGGGGGTATTCTCTATCAGGGCCCCTTCAAGGACGTCCCGGGCGACACAATCCTGGCAGCACTCTGGCAAAACAGATTCTGTGCCGAGCAAGACATTGACACGGCGCAAATTAAACACGCCCATTTTTTTGCCAGTTGACCCCAGTTTTGCATTTAGGCTCTTATTGTCATACTTCGGGATGTGCGCGCAATCAAGGCCCAACCTCGGACCCAGATCACCTCAAACTCGGTGTCGTAGTAACTGGTAATGCTTATAGGCCCTCGGCTGCAGAGGTAAAGACAAATGCCTCCGCCCGGGTATATGTCATCACTGAGAGACGCTCCGGCCAGAAAGGTCATCCGAGCTGGGTGGCGTCCTGGCTTCGTGATGGTAAGGGCATTCAGAGCATTGAGCATGCAACAGGCTGCAGTTCCTTGAGGCATCAAAAAAAGTAGCCCCTGAACACCGATGCCGCCACCAGCACCAGCACCAGTACCAGCACCAGCAGCACCACCACCACCACCACCAACAACAACCCGAACACAAGCCCACCACTGGTCACCATCACAACTACCAACAACAAAAAAAACCACAACCCGCGCCACAACCACCAACAACAACACTCCACCACCAGCACCAGCACCATCACCGCCGCCACCAAAGCCACAATGCCACCACAAACAGCAACAACAGCCACAGCAACAACAACAACGACGACGACAACAACAGTAACTCCAGCAACAACCGCAACCGCAACCGCAGCCACCAGAACCACCACAACCGCCGCCACCAACACCACCAACAACCCGAACATAAGTACCACCACGACCACAATCACAACCACTACAACAACGACAACAACGAGGACGACGACAACCACAACAACAATGCCTGAGGTGCAGCAGAAGCAGCTTCAACAACAGCAACAGCAACAGTAGCAGCAGCGGCAGCGGCAGCAGCAGCAGCAGCAGCAGCAGCAGCAACTGCTGCATCAACAACAGCAGCAGCAGCAGCAGCAGCAGCAACTGCTGCATCAACAACAGCAACAGCAGCGGCGGCAGCAACAACAACAACAACAAACTAACATCACAACGACCACGACCACATGACAACGACAATGTCAAAGGTAACATCAGCACGAAGGAAAACTAATGAGAACCGGAGCTGTAGCACTTATTACTACATGACTGGCGTTGCGAAGCACAACGACACGAATAATGCATATGTCTTCAAGGCAGTCATGTTTGCAGATACCCACTGACTTTACAAGCACAGGCCGCAGAAGTAGCCGTGATTTGTTTTACGAAGCTTTAGTGGGAGTCAACGTCATCATGCCCAGCAGCAGCAGCAGCAGCAGCACCACCACCACCACCACCACCACGATAATCACAATCACCATCACCACCACAGTCTTCATCGTCATCATCGTCGTCATGACGGCAGAGAGCGTCGCCACGTTACATCAACGCCACGAGTCGAGATCTGCAGGGCGGGGCTGGATCTAAACTTGTGTGTGCAATCCGAGTTGATTCCCTAATTTGAAACTATTCATAGTTTTAACCTGTCGCTTCAGACATCACTTCTGCAGGGGCACCGAGAAGCAGAGAAGGGCAGAGTGAGTAATGACGGGAAGTTCGAGTGACGGCGAGTGGCTGTGTAAGTGGTGCAAACGAGAGGTGTGGAGAGGTGGCAGCTAATTCGGTGCAGTATACCCTTAGTACTGTGAAGTCCGCACCGTGTACATAATGAATGCTTCGCTATGTGCCCGTGTATAGTTGCAAAGCGCCAGACTGACCAACTATGCCGAGTACTTATACTGCAGGCCTGCAGCTCGCGTCGCGCTCGAAGCAGCAACAAGCACAGTCAGAGGGGATGCTCAGAGCGGCTCGGAAAAGGGGAATGACTTGTGCAGCAGCCCGAGAGCAGGCATGTTGCAAGTTTGCACAGAGCATTGCCTGAGCTTGACTCGGGGACTGCCGCAAGCTGATCTTTGCTCATCAGCCGAGCAACTGGGACATTGCCCGGAAATGCACATGCTCGGAGACCATGACCATGAGACCAAGCAGGAGGAGGGAGGGAGAGAGAGAGAGAGAGACCGATACTCAAACTGCCTTTTCACGCCCCCGAAAGCCCCATAACAGATGGGGGGCCAATAGGCCGGGGGGTTTGGCCTGCCCCCTATGACTATGTCCTGGGGAAGAAGAAGAAGCAGAGAGAGAGAGAGAGAAGCGAGAGAGAGAAAGAGAGAGAGAGTGGAAAGGAACCTGCCGGGAAGGCTGTCCGAAGCTTTAAAGAGCGCCATGCCATGCTCGCAACCTGCAACAGTTCAGAGAGAGAGAGAGAGAGAGAGAGAGCGAGAGATTATCGCACTCTTTAAGGCCTTAGCCCAGCAGTGACTATTGCTCGTTCTTCACACCCCTTTACCTACAAAACATTTGCGGGTGGGCTTTACGCCCGGGGGTCTTGACCGACCCCCATGCCCGGGAGAGGGAGAGAGAGAACCAACAAAGCTTGGACGAGGGGAAGCGGAACTGAGAGACACAAAGATACTTCACTCCCTGCCGGGGCCCGGTAATGGGGCGAGTCGGTGCTGCCCTTCCCAAGAAAAAAACACAAGACCACAAGACAACTGCTCGCAATCACTTCAAAAAAGCTAGCGTTGATTGCTACAGGAACAGTTGGAAGCAGCTGGATGGAATGCAGAGGCCGGTCACAGTGGGGCTTTCCAGGGCGATGGCTCAGGCTCTTGTAGCATGTGGCCGCAGGTACGGTTGAAGGGACCAATTGTTGCACACCCTTGAGCTGTTGAGACTATGCAGGCATTTCGGTGGGATACTATTTAAACTGATGAACCGTAAGAAGAGGCATGTCGGTCAATCGAATGCACATTGTCACGATGTCAGCACTCACGACACCTCGTTATACAGGTGTTGAGACTTTAGGCTTCCACATATAGTTCGTGCAAACATATAGTTCTGGCAGGATACGACATGTGATCCACCTTCATGAATCTGCTGCCTCTAGTCATGGTTTTCTTCACCTGGAGTGGGGTTGCTGTCAGGGCCCAGGCCCTCCAATTCTGATGAACCTCATGAAACAGCGCTACCACATAGCGATTGCATGAAGGCGTCAATAAGCTTCAAGCATAATCTGTTTTTGCCTTCAAGTCTCCTGCCAGGAGCCGGCGCCCCGCTGGCACGACATGGCCACCATGAGATGCTTGGGAAGGAGCTCGGGTTCAGAGCGGCGTTCAATCTAGCAGTACATCTTACATATAATGTTAGACTACATATATACATATATCTATATATCATAGTGATGGTGCAAGCAGAAAGCCCCGGTCATTTCAGGGTGGTATTTCGCTGCCCCTGCCCCGACCCCTCTTTTTGGGGCCACAGCACTAGCCACCGAAAACGGCTTCAACCCTGGAGCCAACCCCAAAACCCGAAGTCTTTACTGAGTAGGGATGTGGAAGTGCACAGGCTTGGAGCTCAGAGTGGTTGTGCTGGCAAAGCCTAAAGACCCTAAGCCTGCAACCAGGATGTGCCCTGCTGGCTGGACTTTGACTCTGCCGCCTTGTCACGCCCCCCCAGGCGCCTCAAGAGGTTCTGGTTCGTCATGAGACACAGAGTCTGGTTAAGGTGTTTTGATTTGATGCAGAGTTCGGGGGCTTCTGGAGCTACCGGAGCTTCAGCCTTGGGCATCGCACAGGTGAGGGGCCGGTCTTCAGCCTCGTCGTGCCTGGTCACATATGGGGGGAGGGTCTCCGATGTACGGCTCTCAACTTTTTTGAAGCCCCCCGAGCAGCATCCCAGCCTTGAGGTAGTCCCGTGTGCCGGCCAGCTGTCTGCGCCACTGGAAGCCAACTGTGTCTACTTTGACGGAGAGGTGTGCCTCCTTTTGTTTGAGCCGGGAGGGGTCTCGGAAATACAGTTTTGCTTGTCCCAGGCAAAGCAGAGCACTTGCAATTTGCGTGAGGCTGGGGAAGTTTGCGGGTCCGTCTGGGAACTTCACAAACCTCCCCCAAGCTCGTCGAACTATCTACCCGCTTGAAGCTATTCAACTCCACACCCGTATAGATCTTATTACACTTCAAAACCTGGACAGAACGCCGCTGCTTCGTCGGCCGTGGTCTTCGGAGCTCCGGAGGCTGCATCGCCGGACAGAGGTGCGCTGCTGGAGGCCCCAAATCCAAGCTTGTCAGGGATTATGGTTTAGGGTTAGACAGCATACAGCAAGGCAACGGGTGTTGGGGGGTTTTCTCGGCAGTTTCCAGGTTCAAAAACGCATTGTTGTTGTGTGCGGTTTTGTTGTTGTGGGGCCTATAGGGCTTCGCATCCAGACTTCAGTGATTTGGACACTTAGTTGAAGGTGCGTTGGGTTAGGCAGGTTTTCTCTGGGCTTTAGGTTTTGGAGCCAAGAGGTTGCATAGCTTCCTGCACTGATCCGTGCTCAACGATTGAAATGGCCTGCCAAGCTTCCAAGCAGCACAACAGAAACAATGTTTGTTCCGACTGAGCGCTTGATGAATTCCCCCGTTGATGCCGAGACCACTCCCGGATCGATCCTGGCAGGTTCCACTTTGGATGCGCTCACCAGAAGCTACATTGGTCTGGGCCGAGACCGACATGCAACTTGTCTCCACAGCCTGCTGAGGGTATTCTTGCATCCGGGCTACTAGTTGGGTGGTAGGAACTCTAGGAAATATAGGGTTTAGAGTGGAGGGCAAATCAGGTATAGGCCCAAGAGGTTTACGTCGAAACGTTTCGTCTGCTCGGGTTACGGTTTGCGATAAACTTGACTGTGTATCTATGCTGGTCGAGGTTTCATTACTAGATGCAGAAAGTATATAGTAGCAGCAGCCAAGCCCACTACAGCCGCTCCTGCTTTGAGATCAGGGTTTAGGATATGCTGCAGTTACACGCGACTCTAAACAAAAAAATTGCAGATATCTCCGATGCTCCGGCCGTGGAGAGCACTCGACCTCAAGCTGGGGGGGGGGGTCGCGTTCTTTATGTTTGCTTTGTCTCCGTGGTTTTGGCTTTATGTGGTCGGTTTCGCCTGCACAGGTCTTTTTAAAGAGAGCTATTTAAATAGGTCCAGGTCTGTCCACTCAAAACACCGGTCCTTCTGCCTTGTGTAGGTTCCCAGAAAGCCGAATAATCCTCCTTCACCGCCCAGGAGCAAAGCTCGCCGATTCACGCTCCGTGCAGCCGCTCCATCGGTCACGAGTCACCCATTGCCATGCAGATTTGTGCCAACAGCGTTTCTAATGTGGGAGGTATTCTTTTTGTGGTGATTCGCTACTCGGTTTGATTCTTCCTTGTTCCATGGTCAGAGCGTCGGAAAGATTTGACACAGAAGGAGACAAGGGGGCATTTCAAATGTCTCCAGACAATAAGAAATTCACAGGAGCACAGGTTGTTGCGGCTGGCGGCCTGGTTGTGCCTCTACTGACTCTACTCGTTGGGAGATATTTGTACTTAATGTTTTGCCATGAAAGATCCGTATGGAGCCGGCAAAGTGCGCCGCGAGAAGATGTGAGTGAGAGAGAGAGAGAGAGAGAGAGAGAGAGAGAGACTGGCAGAAGTAGTGGCCTTGGTGGAGATGGCCGTGTCAGTCAATCGCTCTGCAACAGTCGGGGGCGCTGACGCAAGCGGGCGAGGGGAGCTTGCTCCTCTTGCCCCTATACTGGCGAGCGAGAGAGAGAGAGAGAGAGAGAGAGACAGAGAGAGAGAGAGTGAGAGAGACCAAGCAAGCAAGCACGCAAGAGAGACAGAGAGCGAGAGAGAGAGAGGGCGAGGGGGCGAGAGGTCGCGAGCGCGAGCGAGCGAGCGAGGAGGTCGTGCCTTGCTGCCGACATGTCACTCGGCAGTACCGCAGTTCAAGCCAGCCAGAACTACAGGCTGCAGAGTGTCGTAGGCCTTTTGCCTGGGTTTAACAAGGAGGCTGTAAACACCGATCGTTTGCGCAGAGCAGTGAAGAGCACCAGCAGCACTGAACAATGAAAACCCGGACGGGCCCCAGGGGGCACGTGGAAGCGGAGTGTCACAGGTACTGCAGGGGGTCGCCCGCAGTCTCCAACTCGCTCTGCTACGCCACTACGCGTAGCACAATAAAACAAAGGGTGAGAGGACGAGACAATTGCTTGAAGGCTAATTACGACAGTGGCCCCTGCGCCAAATGCAAAGAAACAGAGAAAGAGACGGACAGAGGCAAAGACAAAAGAGCACAAACCATGGTGAAGGGGAATTTCAGAATATCTGTTCATCATGCACTGAACGGAGTTTCATACGAATTACTCGAGACTTCACTGTTTAAAATTAAAACCTCTCGCCTATCTATCTATCTATCTATCTATCTATCTATGCACCCATCCAGCCATGCATCCATCCACCGATCGATCGATTTACTAATCTAGGCATATGTATATGTGCATTATCAGGTCGAGCTCTGCACCTGCACACCGTCCAACCTGACTATGTTTCCGCATCCTTCCACCATCCATGCCCGATAGTGGTAGTGAACGAGGACAAGGCGCCAAGATCCAGGGTTGAACGCGCATGTAGCTATCTACAGATAAATACATACAAATCAGAAAATATCGGAGATAGATGCATAGATGGAGGTATTTATTAGGTCTGCCTCCAAAAATACCTGCATCTCTGACGAACCCACACAGCAGATCAGTAACTTCGACCCCTCACCGAATCCTCCTATGATGATGCTGATACACAAGAGTAACAACATCTGAGAGAAACTCCTATAAACGTTGCACAAGACTTCATAACCACAACCTGCTGTGACATTCTCACCATGCATGCAGAGAGTGCCAATACCCAAAAACCCTCTGACGGTATTTTGGCAGTTCTTGGTCGTTGCTTCAACGACATCCAACCACAGTGCATGCAGCCGTCCGTCACGTTCAAACGCGATAGACACAGATGCAGCTACCTGAGCTTCCAGGTCATTTATGCCTTGCTCCCGAAGTCTGCAAGCATCAGGCTTGGCTTGGCATCGGTTGCCTGTGTATTTGCGCATACGCTCATGCAAAGGTAGATACATTATTCTGCAACTTCTGTTGCGAGTAGTGTTTAGGGCTCGTCTTCTGCCCCTTCGGAGTGGCTGCAAATGTCTCAGGGCCCAGCAACAATAGTCGGAAAAGCTACAACGAAAGCTTTGTTGGCGGCAGACCAGCTGATGCTTCAGGAGTTGCATGAGGACGGTTCAATACCGAAGCTGTATAATTCTCATCAAGCATTCCTGAGAGTTCCTATGAAGTTCATTCTTTAACAAACCCCCAACCCCTAGTTTAAGTCATTAGTCTGGCCCCTACATTACGTTTCAGGTTTAGGCTTACAGGCTTTCGGGCTTTAAATACCTCGATAAAGAAAGCTTCGCTTCCGCCCTGCGTGCGCCGGCGTCACCGAACTTTCATTTCAGCCGGGGACGGAGCCGTGAACAGGACTTAAGTTTTAAAGGCGTTGCTGTGTTCACAGATTCATTATGTTTCCTGATCGTATTGATACACTGGGGGGCGGCATATGCGGGGACCGACACCTGACCCAAACACGCAGGTCCATGGAAGCTCCACTAGGTGCACCTGAAACCTCTTTGAGCCCGTGAAGTGGAAACTGCAGAACGACCTGAACGAAGACCTGAAGCCATCTGAAGCCCCAGCCCACAAGCCTCAGTCTCAGACTTCTGTTAACATGCCCCAGCTTGCACAGTTCTGCATGGGCCGATGACGGCTGGGAGCCGCGGGATGAAGCCCCACAGTACGTTCAGGCCGGTGGGCTGCAACCTGCTACAACGACCAACACAGAGCTGTTGTGGTTATTGCCACGGACGAATCTGGTAATGCTTCTTGCCATTGTTTTCAAAATCGCTGTGTGTCGCATTCGGAGTAGATTTTCCCCACGGTATAAGTGCAGCTATCGAGAGGCCCACAGCCACCAACTGTCGTCTGCGGGCTTGTTTTGGCAATCAATGTCGGTTCCGCCAGCAGATCTTGGAAGTAGCTGCCTCGTCTTGGGCCACCGCATTCTCAATCATGCAAAACTCTCGTGGTCGTAGTGAGAAGTGGTTTCCAGTTTTCTTCACCAGTAACCCTGACAGCCCTTGGAATGCCATCAGCCTCTCTTCTCGGCATTTCGACCAGAGTCTTCTGTTATTCTCAGCAATCTCAGATAGCAGCCCTAACTTACGGACCCCCTCCGAAGAATTCGTTTCAGTGTCACGCAGCGCAGTCAATAGGATCGCCTCGCTTCGGGGCACCCATAGGAGCCCCCAAACACGCTCTGAAGGGCGAGGAGAAGCCGCAGCCCATGCTGGTCCTTGCCAAGAGGGGCCAGGCCTCGGCGGGCCTTGGGCACGAAATTGGCGGTACCAGCTCAGAGGCGTGCAGTGGCGTGGCAGCCCGTTCCCGTCCTAGTCTCGTGAAGCGGACAGCAGCTGCGACGGTAACGTCTGCAGTGCGTGAGCCTTGGTCTGGGTTTCATGTCCCGGCGCGAAGCGCTTTGGGGCAGCATCCGCACATGTCCGCACGCTCCGAGGGCACAATGCACATAAGCGCATCTCTTGCAAACTCGCAAGTCCGAAGGCTCGGCAGCTGGTCTGCGCACCTCCCACAGCCGACAGATCGGCAGGCGGAGAGGTCGGCTTCCTGCATCCAAAGTTTGAAACAAGATGACAGAGCCAGTTCGGAATTTGGTTTAGTTTGTCATGGTTTCGAGCACTGTCAGCGTCTAGTGTATCTACAGGGCTGATATATCAATGTGGACATCCTCCTTGAACTGGACTGCACATCAGCGCATTTGCACTTTATCAGTCCGAATGCATATACCGCCAGCCGATGACTTGTATCTGCACCTCTTTTCATCCAGACGAAGAGCGCGGGGTTTCTAGTGGCACCAGTTGGCCCGAAGGTGCGTGCACTAGTCGTCAAAGTGGATGTCGAAGCTTTCGATGCCTCTTGGATGAGTTTTGCTTTTGCGTTTCGTGTAGAGTGCTGAGGTGTCTTCAGTGTTTATATGCATAGTCTCGAGTTCACGGACAACTGTTTGGGCTGGACCTCTTGATGGAAAAGGCCTTGGACCCTGTTCACCTGCTGCGCAAAACAGTATGGAAGGAGGTGCTACAGCTGTTACAAGTCAATGGCATCTCTGCAAGGCTCTCAGCATCTACTCGTAACTAGTGAACAAGAAGCCCAGACATTGTCGGGCTCGACACTAGGACTAGATGTCGAGAGGGTGATGCTGTCCCTGGATGACTGAGTCACCCCTACACTGCTTCTTGGATTGTGCTCGCAGCACATCTGATGGGTCTAGCAGGGAACGGTCCACTGCAGACTAGTTATTGTAGCAGGGAACGGCCCACATTTCTACCTTTGGCAATACGTCGACATGGTGGCAAAGCAGGCGTGAGAGTCCTCATGGTCATGACTATGTCGACTATGTCCGATGCCCACGAGTCATAACGGTCGGAATATACACCAAAGGCGCGCGCAGAATGCAGCAACGGCCTTGAGCTTGTTGGCACCCCTGCATCTTGGCAAATGGGAGAGCATGCCCCTTGGGTTTGAGGTTGGGAATTGGTTTGATGCATGCAGAGTGAGTATCTTTCGTGTGGGGCAAGTCTACACCAGAACGGAGCCTGGAACATTCCCCTCCTCGAACAACACACGCCGAACGTCTCCCGACAAAACGGCCATTTCGTCTTGACATGCTTGCAAATGTTTGTATGCATTCCGTGCATCGCTTGCGCTGTCAGCGCCCAAGGAAGCGGCCGCACGACTGAGCTTAAGAATGCTTCGGTTCTCCTCGGGTTCTATAGCTCTTACAGAAGTATGCCGCATGAAAAGGGGTTTGCATTTCCATGGCTCCCTAAGCATTCGCAATGGCTGGCTTTTTACCTTGCGCATGGAGCTCTAAAGCCGAATCATTAAGCATCGGGATGAAGCTTCTTTAGAACTGGACGGGTCTAACGAAAAGGCGAGATGATATGCAATTTCCCTTTGCTTTTTGTTCTTCTTCCCTGCACTGACACAGGAAGCTTGCTTCACTGGCGGTGGCCACGGTCCCAAGCAAAGATGGTGATGGGATGATCATGACGATGATTGTGATGATGACGATTATGACGACGATGATGATGATGATGATTATGGTGATGATGATGATGATGATGCTCGTGATGCTGCTGATGATGATGATCATCATGATGACGACGACCATGGCGATGATGAGGACGATGGTGATGATAATGATGATGACGATGATCACTCTGATGATGATGATAATGATGATGATGATGATTGTGCTGATGATGATGGTAATGATGATGATGATGATCATGATGAAGATGATGATGATGATGATGATGATGGTGCTGGTTGCGGTGGCGGTAACTAATGATGTTGACGAAGGCGGGATTGCTATTTATTTTTCCGAATGCGACCTTCGCGTGGTGAAGACCGTTATTACTAGTTCTATGCTTGGCATTACCAGCTTTACCCATTTACCCATAGTGCCGCTATCGCGGTATCCTTCACGCTACTGGTATTCTTGAAGTGTTTCCAAGACTGCGACAACTACGTTGATGACAATGACAAACGGCTAAACTGAAACAGACTTGAAAATCATCCTTTGCCTGCTGCAGCTGCCGCTGCTATTGGACCTTGCTCCGCTGACGAGTCACCACGACCGCGATGATAAAACCGACGCGGAGCACCACCACGAGATTGTGATGAAGCACCCTAGCATCTTCAGATTGTCGACGCGGGAGCTCCACGAAGGCGAAGAAGGAATGATCACGCAGCCATCCACAGGCCAACATGGACGCAGCAACAGCAGTGCAAACCTTGCGGCAGTGCAACAGGAGAGGAAACCCAACCCTAAGAACTGCAACGCAGCGCCCCGGCAGCTTACTCTAAGACCTCACCGCCACGTCGAGCGATACGGATCGAGGCGAAGGGAGCTTGCGGCAATCTGTCGCGTTGCACGCGACAAGGCAGTGGGACCTGATTGGAGCGTCACCCAGGCGCTCTTGATGGTCACGCGCGGTTGGTTGGTCCACCAGTCGGGCGGCACACTGTACAGCTGCTGGAGGAGCAGCCGCACAGCGTGAAAGCGATTGCAGGTGGTGAAGAAATGGTGAGCAGCAGTAGCCACACCACCGCACTGGCAGGCCGTTTGAGCAGCAAGACCACGGTTCCAGTAGCGGCGAGTGGGAGTCTTGACTGCACCACCGCGCCAGATGCGGAGCATGGACTCGTCGGGCTCAGAGATGCCACGGCTCCACCTGGTGAACACCAGGTCGGACGGGACGCCAACATCGATGTCTGCACAATCCTCAGCACACGCGAGCAGTGCCACGCAACAATGTCATCCCAGTCAGGCCGGTAGCGACGGGGGTCGGCATGGTGAACAGCGGCGAGCCGCGCGAAGGCAGCAGGAAGCCGAGGGTCATCGCCAGGAGGCAAAACCAAGTGAAAAGCCGGTGGCGAACCGTAGACCGAAAGGCCGAGGACAGCAGCTTGATGCTTGACGCATGCAACAGTGACGGGCGGGGCTTGACGGCCTCGCGCAAGCAGGCAAAGGCAGCAGCGAACACCGGGTGTGCAGAAACCGAGTCGGCCCAAACGCGGCCTGCGTGCAAGACGACGGACGCAAAGCACGGCGCAGAGTAGCCGTAGCCGCACGGAACACGGAACGCCGGGACGGCAGGAACATAAGGAGCGGCCTACAAGTAAGGCGCGGCACAACAAAGGTCCGCATCAAATCCTCGCGAGTGATTGCGGCGCCAGGAGCCGTAGCAATCGTGTTGGCAAGGTGCTCAACATCAGCAAGGGTTGGTGCGAGTGCAAAGAATAGACCGGCCGGGCCTTATACGTGAAGACCAAGGTGCTCATCCCAGTGCGAGTCAGGGCGGCGGGAGGCAGTAGTCCACAGCTGCCGCCTGCCGTGATGTTTCGTGAGGCCAGGGAGGTCATCGGACCAAGCAGTTAGGCGAAGGGCATCCTCAAGACCAGAGCCTTCAAAGACTTTTGTCGTCGGAAACAGCTGAGCAACGACCCCAGGAACGGTGCTGATGTGGCGAGTCCAGGGCGCCAAAACATAGTCGAGGAAAGAGGGACTAGCCGGGTCGCCTTGAGGCAAGCCCGAACAGGCCAAACATCACGGGGCGGAGTAACGCCAGCGACGGTACAGCGACGAGGCGCCGGCCAAATTAAGGTGTGGAAGTAGGCCAGGACACTTTCGCTGAGGCCAACCGACCGTCCTGCCAAGAGAGCGATGGCATGGGGCATGCTGTCAAAAGCACGCCGGAGGTCGAGCTCAGCGGCCTGTGGGAGCTCAACGCAAGCCAATCAGCGATGTCATCAGGCCGAATGCCAGGACGACCACACCACTGTTGAGGAGGCAGAGGCGGAAAGGAAGAAAGCAGGGCACGGGCACGGTGAAAACCACGCACATTCCACCCCATAATGCCTGAATCCGAATCGGATGCGCATCTAGCACGAATGAATTCGAAGCCCCATGCACCTAATTAGTTAATCATTCTCTATGGTGAAAAGCATCATAAAGCATCCATAGTCTGTACTCACCCGAACTGCGTGAGGGATTTAAACCGGCAGCCTGAGGCGGGTGCACCACACCTTCGGGCTCAAAAACCGTCCCATCACACCAACAACCCCCCATGAACTACCACGAAGGGGACCATCAAGTGGATGTGGTGAGGCTCCAGATTGGTCCGGAAGTCGGTACAGTAACGCCTGTGGCTCGTCCGCTGTCCAACAGCAAATGCCCCAGCAGAGGGCATCCCAAACTGGATCCGATGCCTCTTTTGCCAACATTGCCTAAACAGTGTCCTTGTGTGCAGCTGCCAGAAAACGGCCTAATTCGCTGAAGCACCAAGTCGACGTCGACGATCATTCCATCAGTATAGCTCGCATCCGTGAAAGGAAAGCTGCCAAAAGGACGTCCATGACCATGTGCTGTAGAACCGCCACAGCACAGCGGGAAACATGTTGGTCAACAACCGCCACAAAGACAGACGTGTTGAAGGCACCAGCAACGTCACCGAGAATCGTGTCCGGAAGCAGGTGGGCTCGAAGCAGAGCTGCTCCCAGCAAGTTTTACCGACTTGGCTGCAACATATATTCTCTGTAGGACTGTAGGGCTATCATACCGCACACCGGATTGGACTGAACCCTGCATTCCGAGATCCACAAGCGGCTCCCAAGACGTATAGTCAAAGTCATCATGCAGCTGTGTGAAAGGTCGCTTGCCGCGATCTGGGTCCCTGCTGCGTTCAGAAACTTGTGTACAAGATCGCTCCCATCTCCCGCATCCGCCTGAGCAGCAGCGAGTGACTTCGACACCATCTCCACAGCAGCAAACAGTTTGGCGCCAGCCTTCTGATTACTCAGGTCTCCTCCAACGCACCGTTGTAGCGGTTCCCATTTGCATACACGTTGTGCACCACAGATGCCAGTAGACACCTGGCGGCACTCGTCCCAGCATGTGTTCCCATTAAGGCTATCATGCCGGGCATCCGCACCACCTTGGCCATCACAAACAGGCAGTCTATCGGCCCGAATGTTACAAGGGGCGTAATCAGCAGGGGAAGGCAAGTAACGCACAGCCACGGGCTACCTCCTCGCACGAGGGCCGCTGGAAAGCGCCGCATGTGTTTTCCAGCGATTCTCTACAGCACGAGCGCGCCATTCTGATTTCCATATCTGGGCGTACCGTCTTCCAGGTCCCATGGGCAATGCTACGCAGTAATTGGGGCACTACAAGGTTCCCGCTCCATCAGCGGGCGCTAAACCACGCACAAGGGCACTTGCAACGGCGATCCGGCGGGTGGCGCCCGGGTCTCTGGGCTTGGGAATGCCAGCAACACGCCAGGTGAAGAGAAACAGGGACTCAGACACCACAGAGGCAGGGTGCTGCAAGCACAGGGCGAGGCCACGAAGCTCAGCAGCAGACCAGGGGCCGCAGAGTTGATTTCGGCTCAGGCTTCAGCGCGAGAAGCGTGGGGGGTGTCCCAAACCCTCGATCATGCCGGCAGAGGGGTCGAGGACTCCGACGACATGTGCCAAACCTACAGGTTCTACTGCAACTGCCACTCTTACGACTGCGGCAAGAAAGGCTGCAGCACTCTAAATTCTAAACTTCACATGTGGCTTTACATGACCGTGACCGAGCATTGTCCCGGCCTCATCACGACTGCCAAGTATGATGCGGCATTATACTTCTGTCCCATCCGCGACTGTTCTCTTTCCCACAGCTAGCTGCTTTCCAGAGCAGTTCCTGGGCTTCGGACAGAAACCCAAGCCCTTAGCCAGAAATCCTGAATCGTTGGCCCTAGACCTGACACGGACACTTGTTGCCTGAAGCCTTTCCTGCCTTGAGTGAGCCTCGAAACCCGAAGGCCTGTTGCGTTGTCTAAGGTAAAAGAGGCTGGCCTACTCTGGACGGATAGGCAGAAGCTTGGCTACGACTTGAGCGACACACTCCGTTCTTTCGTCTCGGTTTGGGTTTA